CTTGGCGCCCTGCGCTCTCCGGCTCCGGTCCCCCGCCTGCGGGCTCTTCTGCGCCCACGCCGCCGCCATGGGTCCCGGGCCCCGCTCGCTGCTGCTGCCCGCCGCCCTCCTGCTGCTCCTCGCCGGCCGGGGCACCGTGCTCGGCGACACACCTGCCAACTGCACCTACCCCGACCTGCTGGGCACCTGGGTTTTCGAAGTGGGCCCCAGCACGTCTGACCGCAATATCAACTGCTCAGCTGTGGGTAAGCTCAGCCCAGACCCCTGCCTCAGGTGCGATGCCCCCTCCACACCCCCACACCCCCCTGGCCAGCGGACTCTTTCTCCCCAAGGCGCCCGACGCCGTCCAAAGACCGGCCAGACTTCTTGGCTCGGGTCCCTTCGTCTGAGTTGAGCTGCTCTTAAACTTGTAACTTCACCTTTTCTTGGCTAGCCATGGGTTCGGATGTTTTTCTCAATTACTCCTTAAAAAAACAAACAAACCCAAAACTGTTTTGTAGTCTTCGGTTAGGAAAATAGTTGTGAGTGCAATCTTTGAATTCTCGATGTAATCTGGCTTTTAAAAAAAGTCGTGCTTGTGAAAAGAAATGCACCCAGCCGCACAACCCAGGAAAAAGCTAGAAACGTTGTTCTCCCCCTGCTGGGTTGTGGTTTATGCCCTGTGGGTTTCGTTGGGTCACGTGTTGTTGCTACTAGTCCTAAACAACTCCTGGTAACTGTTCCATGTGTTGCACGAAGGTATATAAAAACATTTTTTTTGGAGGTGGGGTGGTGCTAAACACACTTTAACCATTGATTATGTTTGGAAATGCCCAGCGCAAAGTACTCGCCTGGCTCCTGTTGGGTTCTCAAGAAGAATCTAGTGTTTGGACACCCCAGTGTATTCCATATGCCCTCAGATCTCACAGCTTCTCCACGGACGAAGAATCTGGTCACTGGACTCGGGTTGGGGAAAGACCACACAACCCAGGGTCAGAAGCAGCACTTTCTTGTCCTTTCCAGCCCTTGCCTGCCAGTGTGATCTGTGAGACTGAGAGAGGCTCTCCACCACAATTTCCTGGTCAGCAGAATGAAGATTGCCATTTGTTACTGAAATAGACCAATTGATCCTGGGAATTTCAACTGTCTTGTTTTTTCTTAGACTCGAGCTTGAAAACGAGGGATGGAAGGGATGGCAGGATTTGCCCAGTCAGTTTCCTATTACAGAGCATTCATCTGAAAGCCAGAAACAGTGTCTAAAGGACAGCCTCTGTCTATAAACCATACCTCGGGCATTATTGCAACATCGATTCTACTTGTGCAGGTTTCTTCCAACCTAGAGGGTTATACTTGTCTCTCTGACCAGGGGTTGGCTGCAGACACATTCTCTCAGCAATTATTCCGCTAAGTCTTTTTAGGGTGCCTTCAAAAATAAAGGACCAACCAAAACACAGTGGGTTCCAAGGGGATTTGCTAGGTCACTTCCGTTCTAGGCAGAGGGGTTCAGTTCAGAAGGCCATGGTGACTGTTTTTGGAGATTGTAAAGAGCTGGCCTTGATAGTGTTCTCAAAGTACCCAGGGCAATCACAGATTTTTCAGAAAATTGTAAATTAAATGGGTGAGAATAAGGGCAGGATGTGTCGCCAAGCCATT